ATTTTGATACAATTAACTAGGCTACTTAATTGGGACTACACTTATTCCATTACTACAGGAAAAACACCTCCCAAGAAAAGAGTAGAAAACCTCTGGCAGAGAAACCCTCTGGCATGGGATAGATTTGGTAAGTAAATATTATATAGCCTACATTACTGCACAAACACACATTACTTAATGCACAAAATGAACAAAAACACAGTACATTAATTAATTAAGAGACTACAGGAAAATAGATCAATCAGCAATGTTTCTATATACCTTAAAATATTTCTTACTTTAATCCATAGACGGTTTCATCGGGCGCACGTGTACCTGGCCCGAAGTTAACCTCCGGTCTGTAAAGTAGCGTTTGTGAGCTCAGCGCTGCTTTGTGTACAGCTGTTACTGGGAAACCTCTGTTTCTCCCGCTTTAAAGCACCTCCTGCTGGCAGACAATGAATTTGCATTTTCAGTAAGTCAGTCTGATGTACGCAGCAATATTTTGCTTGTTATTAAAAATAATCTACTCTAGAGGGACAACTTAGCTGTTGTTATTGATTCTATTTGGAAGTCTACCGGAAGTTAAGTTTGGGCCACAAAAGCGCGCATGCGCAGTAACGTTTGTTTTAGGGCTGCACGATAAATCGCATGCGATATTTAACGCGCATCTTGTCAGTAAAGTCGGTTCTTTAATCAGCGGTAAATCTCCATCACCTGCGGGCTTTCACATTGAGCAGCATTAATTACACAGAGCCATTGTTCACCAACAAGCTGCGCAAAACCACGATCATATTTTGCGCATGTTTTGCGCAGTTTGTTGGTGAACAATGGCTCTGTGAAGTTAATGCTGCTCCATGTGAAAGCCCGCAGGTGATGGAAATGTACCGCTGATTACAGAATCAACTTTACTGACCAGATGCGTGTTAAATATCGCATGCGATTTATCTTGCAGCCCTAGTTTGTTTACGTTGTTGTCGTTGAAACCGTCTATATCATATCTCTTTTTCTTTTTAGTTCCCTGCTTTACATTCCTGCTTGCATGATTTGTTGGATTCGGACTCCTCCTGTTTGTTGTGTGGTCGGCTCCCTAAAATATATTATAGAATCAGCTAAAAACACATCTCTTCCATCTTTATTTGACCCTCTAACTCTAGCACTCTCTATTCTAATTCTATTCTTTATAAAAAAAAAAGTTTTTAAAAACTTGCCCCTTTTAGACTTGCACTATTTATTTACTACCTGCTTATTTTCTTTAAAAAAATATAAATAAATTTAAAAATCTAACACTTGCTTCTCTAAACTTTTTGTATTCTATCTTTCTTTTCTGTTAATTTATTATACAATTAACAAAAGACAGCTGTGGTTAAATGCGATAAAACGAGCGGACTGGACAGAAACAATCGTCAAAAATGCTTGCGTTGGCAGCGCACACTTCTTATCAGAAAAGGTTCAATAAAGTATTAACTTTTGTTGTTATGGGCGCGTCTACAAATTTCTTGCCATATGTCTATGTTTCTTGCATCTCACGACTATGTCTTGTATGAAATAATAATGTCTGTGTGCATGTGTGTAAAACAACAAACTGACGATTTATATATAATCATTTGTAATTGTATATACATTGTTGTGATTAATTGTGGCTGGAACAATAATGTAGCTGTAAAAATAGTTGCCTGCTGAAATTGAAATGTATATACATCTTCATCATGACTAGATACGACACAGTGAATTAGTCTTTACTATACAGGTTAGACGTGATCCACCTCAGAGTAACAATCCTGTCAGATCGCCCATCCTTTGAGAGAGGGTGTAACATTACAGGTCGGCCGATCTGGTTTCGTGGTTAAAGTTAACCTTTACGACATGTTTCCGTGTTGTTGTTGCTCAGCAATGGCATGGACGCGATGTTGTCTGGGGGTTTGGCAAAAGGAGAGTGGGACGGTGGGCGGTGCTCAGGGTGGTGACTGAAGGCGGTGACTGTGTAGTTCTGACGTCAACTTTTTACGGAAGTCACAACGGTTCGTGAAAAATCACAGCTACTTTAAGCAGACTGTGTGCATTTTACTGCGGACTGACTGTTTTGAAACTTATATGGCAGTTACGTAGCACCTAGACCTCAGTTATCATGAAAAAAGCCAGGAAATTTCAGTTTTGACAATATGGGACCTTTAAAGAACAAAACATTTTGTAAAAGAGGGTTTAGGGGAGTGTTGGGTATGTGGGTAAAGTAATGTATCAAGCTTTGACTGCACTAGTTGTAAAGATGGGTCTGATACATGTAGATTCAGTGCAAGCGTCGTAGACATACATAAAAGTGTATTTAGGTGTTTGTAAGTGTTTTTAAAGCAGCACTATGTAACTTTTGGCTCTCTTGCGGTTAATAAACAGAACCACACACATCCCGCGGAAGAACATTCCAACCGGAGCTACTTCTCTAAGTTTATGTCTCTGGCGATTCACGCAGGTATGTGTTACTCCGCAGCGGTGACGACCCGACAATAGTCCAAATATAAGTACTTATTATAAGTGTACCGCAGTGATTCGGAATAAGACAAAAATACGGTTTGGAAGATGAATTCATGATGTACTCGCTCATTATGTACATTTTGTAAATTTTGAACACAGAAAAAGTTACATAGTGCTGCTTTAAGGGACAAAAACAAAAACTGAAAATGAGCAAATACTTGGAACATGAAGGAAAAACAGAAACAAAATCCCGAGTGCTGTGTGCCTCCACTTAAACTACTCATTTAAACAAGAGGTGAATCAGTTGAATCACTTCCTACTAACTAATGAACAGAATTCAAACGTAATCTTACAGTAAAAGCACAGTCATTTATAACATGGTTCCAGAACAGAAGCAACTAAAGCCATACAAACACATTTAAAACTTACCAGACGCCACAAACACTTACTCATGCCATATTGCTTAACTACGTCATATGATATAAATATAAAAGCTATTAAAGTCATACAGATTTTTGCTGCAATATCTTAAATTTTGTGGTTATTTAACTGCATTAATTGATCTTTAACTGCACTAGTTTATCTTACTAGAAGGGGGGGGGGGGATGCTTCACCCACAAACTACTAACACACAAAAACATCCAGCAGATCAAGCCACTTTCTGTACAGATAAAACAAAGAGAAAACCCACTGCAGGGTCTATTTGAAACAAAAAACAGTGAATCACATTTGCAGTGCGTGCCTGTGTTGTTACAACAAAATTCATGAGTACAAGTTAATGAAAAAATACAGCAACCTGTAAATGTTCATTTAGAAACACTGGCATTTGATAAACTGAGAGATATAGTCTTGGGAAAATCTGATGAGGAATGCTAAAGTTCATGATGAACTTTTGATTGTAGACTCTGGTATATTGGTGAGTTTGAGCACAGTAGCGTTTTGAAACTCTAGGTGAAGTGCGCGAGTTTACCTTGGGCTTTTCTTCTGGAGAAATCCTGAAAAGTTTTCTGAAATTCAAGTTACAATGATGATGAACTTACACAATAACCCTCATATTTTAAATATTGACAACCAGTGTTGGGGAAAGTTACTTTTAAAAGTAATGCATTACAATATTGCGTTACTCCATAGAAAAAGTAACTAATTACGTTACTTAGTTACTTTTATGGAAAGTAATGCATTACGTTACTTTTGCGTTACTTTTTAAATCTGGACAGGGCTTGCTTGTTTGCTTTTAAAATAAAAAAGTAATATTTTTGGCAAATATAAAAGCCTTTTCACACCAAAAGTGAAATGAATAAGCCTCAGGCTGAAGGGAAAGTAAATGTAAGTCTGTACAGTAGAATGCAGAAGAAGACATTTCAACACACTTCAGCAATAAACAAAGACACACAAATGTTTGTCTAGAGTAATTTGTGCTTATTAGTACGGTTGAACTGGATCATCGGAGGTCAGAAGCAAAGACATTGGTTAATAGATTGGGATTAAATACATAAAGGATATTTGTGTAACATTTAATTATTGCAGGTTTGCGTCATATTCTGAGTTGCATTATTTTTATTCATTTTGAGGAATACTGAAACTGTGTGTGTGTTTTTTGTGAGTGAGATGAATTAATGCATATAGCGCCTCCTGCTGGATGAACTTTCGAGAGGAGAAACATTCACAGACTGTGATTATTAACTATTCATTATTTTCCATTCATTATTTTTTTTTTCTAAACTTTAATTTTATATTACTATTAGGGAAAATAGCCAGTAATATAAATAGTAATCATGTTTTAGCTGTATAGCCTATAGGTTATGGTTTACTAAAGAAAATCTTGCAGAGGTGCCAAAATAACAATTTAATAATAAATGTAAAAAGAAATGTTTTAACATGAGCTTAACAATAATGTACATTTACAGATATAAATACCGTAAACCTGTGTATATGTATTGCTCTGCTGAACTCATTAAAATGTACATATTGTGTTCCTCCAGGAGGCGCTTCACATCATAAATGTAATAAAACATCTCTTGAGTGAGAAAACGTTATTGATAATGGTCAGAAAATACATATTACAGATGTACAGCAGTAGTAAAGAAAGATATGTGTGTCTCTACTCATATGTAGGAAATATAAACAATAAAGTATTTCAAACTAGATTTTTTTTAAATGTAGACACTTAAAATTCCAAAGAGAGAGCATGAGCTGCTTTAGATTTCAATACTTCCTGAAAAAGATCAAGATATACAGCCACAAATTAATAAATCTCACAAAAATTTACATATGCAAAACAATTAGTGAGAAATGATATCAATCATGCACCTGGTGTGTGAATCTGTGCTTGATCTTGTTCAGCTCTTCTGGATCTGATGTCATAAACC